TCTCACCTCCAGCCTCATGCGGCATGGCAATTTCACTTCGATCAGGCAACGATGCAACAACAGTCCCTGAGGCGTTAGAACCTGGAACGCTGGATACTACCCCTTCAGGTTCTCCCACACCATTGTAAACTGCACAAAGGAAAATAATTGATATATTGAATCGCCCTTGTGAACGAAGCTGTTTGGTTCAGCTCTGATAATGGGATCTCACAGCCTTAGAAAATTGAAAAGTATGTCGGACTGCGATAAACACTATGAGCTAAAAAAGACCAAAATGCATCAGATTCCAGATCTATAGGACGACAATACTTACCTGGATCCGTTCTGCACCGAGCCACCTCGTCGGATCCGCCCGAGCCACCTCGTCAGATCTCGCTGCCGCCTGGAGCACTGGGGCCGCGCGGTACCGGATAGCCGCCATGCCCTTGGCCTGGCCGCACCACCGCACACTGCCTGGGGTACCTGGGTCGCACGCCGCGCTTCCATCGACCAGGGCTTCGCGCCGCGCCGCCGCCTTGCGACCCCGATGAGCGCACAGCGGGGATGCGGCCCAGACGACCGAGTAGTAGGGACGGCGGCTGCAGCAGCGAGGATGACGGCCCCGGCGAGCTCGTGGCGGTGATGGAGAAGAGCCGCCCCCGAGGTCCCGACGAGCGCCGCTGGTGCTGAGTCCGTGTGTGGCGGCTGCTGGGTGGATGGGACGATGGGCGCTGGAGCCTTGAGACAGGGTTTTGGCCTTTTGGGTGTTAGTGTATGACCGGTGGGCCACTCAATTACATTGCACGTGAGTGGGCTGGGCTGGATGCGTAAAAAATGAACAGAAATGCTATACAACACACATGTGTTTTAGCATAAAAAAACACATGGCTTTTTTCTCTCTCACTCTCTCAGCATCCTGCGCAGCTCGTCGACGACCGCATGCTTTGATGGCACGGGCGGCGAGGGACTGGAGGCTGGCGGCGCTCCTGATGCTGGCCTGCACGGCCCGGACCGTCTCCAAGCGGACATCGGCCTGCAGAAGCGTGCGCGAGACGTCGTTGAGGCAGTCCAGCACCACCTCGCTCCGCGATTTGTCCTCTTGACCTTGCATAGAAAAAAATTATTTCTTGTGATCTGTGAATCTGTGGATCTGTTATTTTGTGATTTGTAATTGTCTGAAGGTAGAAGGAGAATGGATGTTATTGGATATTAATTCTATGGTGTAAAAAAATTCATGTGTTGAAACTATATAAAACACATGGTTGTTGGGTAGACAGACTCAAAATGAAAACGGACTGTACCGACCGATAGTTTGACTATGATACTAATACGTGTTTATACCGACCGATGGTTCGACGAAACAACCAAATATATATAACGACCAATAATCGATCAGTATAAGAGAAAATAGCGACCGATGATCTGTTAAAAATTTATAAAGACCAATAGTTGGACGTTAATATTATGTTTTAGCGACCGTTGTCCGACGCTAATTGTTAGATGTGGTATAGTGTCAACCCTAACTATACTAATCTAACTATACATACCCTAACTACCATGAAATCAAGGTTGAAATCAACATTGCAACAAGAAATCAAGAGTGGATTACCTGTCCTACGAAGTGGGGAACCTTGGGGGTTCACCCACACCTAGCATGCCCAAGGAGAGGGGCATGCCGGTGGGGAGAGCTGCATGGTGGCCACGAGGGTCCACAGAGAGAGGTCCGACAATGAGTCCAGAGGAGGAAGAGCCCGGAGATGGGTGAGGTGGAGAGGGATGGAGGCGGAGAGAGACAACGACAGCGGGCCTTTCGGGTCGGCAGCAGGCACAGGAGGAAAGGAATAGAGCGAGAGATACAAAGAGGGTCGTCTGGCGGATCTGTAATTCCCCTACGCGCGTAACCACTTTGGCGCGACAAGGGACGCGCCATCTAGGTTGTACGGCATTTGCCGTGCTGAGTCGACAACAATGGCATAAGCGGTGCCACGTCGGTGGTCACGAAGCCGGTGACTTTATCACCATGGCATGTCACCAGCGCCCAGATGCATGGCACGTCGGAGCAGTTTGGCTGCTGCCAGCAGGAAATAGGCATGGCCAAGCAGGTTAGATGTGAAAAGAAAAGTCAACGGTGTTAATTTTAAAAATTGTTTGAAAAAGGTTAAAAATAAAAAAGAATTTACCTACACAAGTGTAGATGTTTGCCGAAAAAAGTCATACAGCTGCTAAGGGACGACCGCATGCTTTGATGGCACGGGCGGCGAGGGACTGGAGGCTGGCGGCGCTCCTGATGCTGGCCTGCACGGCCCGGACCGTCTCCAAGCGGACATCGGCCTGCAGAAGCGTGCGCGAGACGTCGTTGGGGCAGTCCAGCACCACCTCGCTCCGCGATTTGTCCTCTTGACCTTGCATAGAAAAAAATTGTTTCTTGTGATCTGTGAATCTGTGGATCTGTTATTTTGTGATTTTGTAATTGTCTGGAGGTAGAAGAAAGCTGGAGGTAGAAGGAGAATGGATGTTGTTGGATCTTAATTCTATGGTGTAAAAAAATTCATGTGTTGAAACTACATAAAACACATGGTTGTTGGGTAGACAGACTCAAAATGAAAACGGACTGTACCGACCGATAGTTTGACTATGATACTAATACGTGTTTATACCAACCGATGGTTCGACGAAACAACCAAATATATATAACGACCAATAATCGATCAGTATAAGAGAAAATAGCGACCGATGATCTATTAAAATTTTATAAAGACCAATAGTTGGACATTAATATTATGTTTTAGCGACCGTTGTCCGACGCTAATTGTTAGATGTGGTATAGTGTCAACCCTAACTATACTAATCTAACTATACATACCCTAACTACCATGAAATCAAGGTTGAAATCAACATTGCAACAAGAAATCAAGAGTGGATTACCGGTCCTACGAAGTGGGGAACCTTGGGGGTTCACCCACACCTAGCATGCCCGGCGGAGAGGGCCGCCGGTGGGGAGCAGCGGGCGGCCACGAGGGGTCTGACAGAGAGAGGTCCGACGACGGAGTCACAGAGGGAGGAAGAGCGCCGGAGATGGCTGAGGTGGAGAGGGATGGAGGCGGAGAGAGACAACGACGGCGGACGCTCGGGTCGGCACGGGCACAGGAGGAAAGGAATAGAGCGAGAGATACAAAGAGGGCCGTGCGGCGGATCTGTAATTCCCCCTACCGCGCCAACCGCCTGGCGCGACAAGGGACGCGCCATCTAGGTTGGCACGGCACGGCAAATTGCCGTGCCAGTCGACAATGTGACATAAGCGGTGCTACACGTCAATTTGGTCGAGACGGTGACTATCACCATGGCATGTCAGCCGCGCCAGGATGCATGGCACGTCGGAGCGGTTTGGCCGCGCCAGGGAAATAGGCATGGCCAAGCAGGTTAGATGTGAAAAAAAAGTCAACGGCGTTAATTTTAAAAATTGTTTGAAAAAGGTTAAAAATAAAAAAGAATTTACCTACACAAGTGTAGATGTTTGCCGAAAAAAAGTCATACAGCTGCTAAGGGACAAAAGGCTTGCTCAATAACTAAAATTAGAAAAATAAGAGTGGACACACTTGCAAGCGTGCATAGAGCCATACAAATGTACGTCCTCCGTTCTAATTTATTATGTATACAGACATATCGTATATATAGGTGCATAACAAAAATTATGTATCTAGAAAAACTAAAATGACCTATAATAATTAAGGTCAGAGGGTGGCACTGTGAAAATCACCAAATCAATTGGGTCGGGAGCCCAATTTCACCTCCAGTAGCCTCTCCTCTTCCCCCTCTACCTCCACTTGTATTCTTCACGCGCATCGGGCTGTGGATGTAGGCCCTATTCGCTTGAATTTATCAGGTATAGTATTTTTCTCTCGCAACAAATCTGCTGGAGCTCGGAAAATATAAACGAGTCTGCAGTAAAAACTTTGGCATCTTGTTACTCAGCGGTGATAACCGCCGAAGGCTTCAGGTTTTTGGTTAACTCTGCTGATGGCGACCATATCAGAGTATCCATTCTTCAGTGACCAAAAGCGGACAAAATCACGGCGTCCCAAGGGCTACCTTTCCCAACAACCACAGCACACACACTGGGAACCCTTCCTTCTTTGTGCATATCGTCCATAGCATGACATCTGCCTTTGAATGATGCTCTCTCCTTGCCTGAATTACGAGCTCTTCCGTTGGTTGAGCAGGCTTGCGCTTGCGCAGATCCATCTTGCATCTGCCTGAAATTTGACAGGAACCAACACTGTCACCATTTTTAATTCTGAATTCTGAATTCTGATTGGCCCGTCCCAGGTTTTTCCGTGTGAAAATCGGATTAAAGCGACAGTGATGGGAGTAGGTTTGATAATATCAACTGGGTCCATGCCAAAGGCAGGCCGGCAACTGCGAAAGATCCAAATGAAGTTTGACATGTTCCAAAGCAACATCTTATATCAGCTACTTCAAAGCTAACAGAATTTTTTTTTTCAGGGAAGAGCTAAGAGATATTCATTCAAAGCAGAAAATCAGTAGTACTAGTATTCTAGTAACCTACAAAACTTTGTGACCACTCTTGTGAAACTTCCAAAAGAATTCTCCTGCACTTCCTCACATAGAAGGAAAAAGTTTTTTTTTCAATAAAAAACTCTCCTGAAACCAGCAAGAAATTGACATGTCATTTGCTACAGAATGCTGACTAGTGACTACTATGAAAGGGTCCTCCTTGTTGACTCTGAACTTTTATCTGCTTTATTATGACATGACAGTTTGGTTTCTGCATCTGCACACCAATACACATGACGCCGGGTCTCCTGATCCATCCAACGTGTTCAAGAACCAACAAGAATTGAATAGGTCGAAACCTACCTGATCCACTACAAGTCCTCATCAGCCGCGGCTGAAGGTGTCAGAAAGAGAGCAACGCAACGCAGAGGAGGACACAGGGTGGCCAAGCCCAGCAAGCAACGGCGTTCCAGCCTCCCAGGGCAGCTGAGAGCTGCCGGCCAGCTATGGCTTCCCGCCTTCTCCTCGCCACCTTGGCTCTCCTCTTCGTCGCAGCCGCAGCGCAGAACAACGAGATCATGCTGCCGGCCTGGCCATCCTGCTCGACGACAGACAACTACACCGACGGCAGCCAATACAAGAAGAACCTGGACCAGCTCCTCTCCAGGATGCCCACGGCGGCCGGCGACAACGGGTGGTTCTACAATGGCACCGCCGGGACGGGGGCTGACGAGGTGTTTGGCCTCATCATGTGCTACGCCGACCGCAACGCGACGCAGTGCCTGGACTGTCTCTCCAGGGCGCCAGCGGGGATCACGACGGTGTGCCCGGGCAGCCGGAACGTGAGCGCGGCGTACGACGCGTGCGTGCTCCGGTACTCGGGCACCGACTTCTTGTCCGTGGCCAGCCGCAACGCGGCGTTCTACGTCACCTGGTTCAGCACCGTCGACCAGGCAAGGCTCGAGGACGCGCGCTCGAGCCTGATGAACCAGCTCGCCAGGACGGCCGCTGTTCCTAGCGAACGAGAGCGCGCCGCTCGCCGGCTCGTCGGACTCGGTGTACGGGCTCGCGCAGTGCACGCGGGACCTGACGGCCAGCGAATGCAGCTGGTGTCTCACCACATATATCGGTCTGCTGCCAGGGAATTTCCCGAACAACACCGGCGGCGCGATCAAGGGGTACAGCTGCTACGTCAGGTACAGTGTCGGCGCCTTCGTCATCACCCTGCCGCCGCGACGTCCGGCGCCACCGCCATCGTCACCGCCTTCTCCGTCGGTGTCGACAGGACTAGTGGTCGGCTTGTCTGCCGCGGGAGCTGCTTCTTTCTTGATCATCCTAGGCCTGTCAGTCAGTTTCCTCCTGCGCCGACGGCGAAAGCGCGCCATGCAGACCATGGAGAGGGATCTGGAAGAGGGCGACGACTTCGTCGGAACGGAGGACGAGTTCGAGAAAGGGACCGGGCCAAAGCGGTTTCGCTACGGCGAGCTTGCCATTGCCACTGACAACTTCTCGGACAAGCACAAGCTAGGAGAGGGAGGGTTCGGGTCAGTGTACAGGGGATTCCTGAAGGAGATGGGTCTCCACGTTGCCATCAAGAGGGTGTCCAAGGGTTCCAAGCAGGGGAGAAAGGAGTATGCCTCGGAGGTGAGGATCATCAGCCGGCTCAGGCACCGCAACCTGGTGCAGCTCATCGGCTGGTGCCATGGCGGCAGCGAGCTCCTCCTGGTCTACGAGCTGATGCCCAACGGCAGCCTCGACACGCACCTTTACACCGCCAGCGATGACACAGACACACTGCTGCCATGGCAGCTCCGGCACGAGATCGTGCTGGGGCTTGGGTCAGCTCTGCTGTACCTGCACGAGGAGTGGGAGCAGTGCGTGGTGCACAGGGACATCAAGCCCAGCAACGTCATGCTGGACGCGTCCTTCCACGCCAAGCTCGGCGACTTCGGGCTGGCGAGGCTTGTCGCCCACGGCCGGGGCTCGCACACGACGGTGCTCGCCGGAACCATGGGGTACATGGACCCGGAGTGCATGATCACCGGCAGGGCCAACGCCGAGTCAGACGTCTACAGCTTCGGCGTCGTCCTCCTGGAGATCGCCTGCGGCAGGCGGCCCCTGGTGCGTCGCCACGGCGAAGAAGACGTGATCCACATCGTGCAGTGGGTGTGGGAGTACTGCAGCAGAGGAGCCATCCTCGACGCCGCCGACGCACGGCTGAACGGTGAGTTCGACGACCGGGAGATGGAAACAGTGATGGCCGTCGGGCTCTGGTGCGCGCACCCTGACCGAAGCCTGAGGCCGTCCATCACGCAGGCCGTCAACGTGCTGCGGCTGGAGGCGCCGCTGCCAAGCCTACCGGCGAGGATGCCGGTGGCGACCTACATGCGGCACCACTCGGTCAAGCACAACAGAGACAAGTACCCTGCTCAAATGACCACAGATCGGTGCTTCTGCACCCCGACGATTTTGAATGTCTGTAGATATGTACATTTATGTTCATACAAGTATAGTTAGCTCACATATACCAGACACCAACATTGACAGCATTTTTTTTCTTCTAAAAACTTCATTATTATTATTATTCCACCAAGAGAAGAGACCAAGGGAGCTGTCTTATATAATTCAGTGTATGTGACAATTCTTCTGTTTCAGTATTTACAGTGAAGGCCAAATGGCTTCGCTTCCCCCAACCTTACACCCAGGTACCCAACCAACCTCCTCAGTTCACAACTTCACATCGCCTCTCTCCATAGGGTCACAGCACGGGGAAAATACAATCAAGAGTCCTCTATGAAGAGCCTGAGACGTCCTCGGTGAAGAGACTAAACAGCAGTTGCAACTGGGGTGTCAGGATGGGCGCCCCATTCAGTCCATGATCCGTCATAAATTGCAACGTTGGTTTTGCCAAAACGATGAAGGCCCTAAAACAGAAGCAAAGTATATAGAGGCACAATTAGCCATTTGGAATGTAAATAAATATCACGTGATTAAGTCCCCAGTAATCTTACCAAGGCTAATACACATGCTGTCACACCAGTGCCGCAAGAGGTCACAAGAGGTTGATCAAGTGATATTCCTGATAATGAATCACACCAGAGGAATCAAATACCGCCACAGTTATTGCTGATTCTACGCCCTGTTCGTTTGGGCTGGTTTGGCTTATAAGCCATGGCTGAAAGTATTGTTGGCTGGTTTGATGTAAGAGAAAAATACTGTTGGTTGGCTGATAAGCCATGGCTTATAAGCCAAATACGACCAAGCGAACAGGCTAAGATAAAAATGATAAAAACTTGGCTGTTGCAGTTCTACATTAGGTGCCATAAAATGATAAAAATGATCACCAGCATCAACTACCAGTGTACAACATGGATGTTACTCTTTCAACAAATCCAATAGAAAATACAGCCAAATCTAAATCCACCAATATCATCGATGTTAATCATGTTAAATCTATCAAAACCAGTGAAGTTTCACGTTCCTAGCTAAAGCCTCATTAACTTCTTCATGAATGCTAAATTTGACCTAGGTATGGAAAGATTTATAGGTATTTTGGTGGCCAGATTAGCTAAGTGGGGTGTGTCAAAAAATAATCTTACAACTAAAAGTGTATAAAGAAAAAATTTCCTGAACTGGGAGGAAGCATCCAATATAACATGATAAAACCTGGATACTGGATGCTATCATCGAGCACTAATAAGGTACTTGTATGTTGTAACCTATAAGGATGGAATATTACCTTCTTGCTCAAACCGTTTACGGAGCTCATCTGGAGGCAATAGCTTTTGTGAGCTGTCAAGAACCTGAAGAAAGGCAAGTTAAGCAGCAGCAGCAGCAACAACAACAACAACAAGAGATATAAAAACATCTATGGCAACACTCAGCATGGACAAAAAATCGGATAGTGACATATAAACTTATAGATAGAACATCCAATTCTCCATCCTATTATGGTAAATGAAGTATCACAGTATAAGGACGAATAGCCCTCATTACAAGTGCATTTACCAACAACATAATCTCATAGTATGCCAACATGCTTCTATTATCCCTATCAACCAAAATCTAGTATACCATTAACACAGGTGTACAACTTCAGCTGACAACTAATGTATCTAGTAAACAACATTTAGATTTTAGACCTCATCAAAATGGAAGGACTGATGAAGAAAAATATGGCATTAGAAGTGCAAAGTATCATATGTTGAAAATTGACAACCAACTATGAACTTTATCAGATAAGTATCCATTACCATCCACTGCAAACACGGGAAGAAACATCCAAATGCAAAAATGAACTGATAAAAGTATGGGAAAGTGGAGACTTTCCACCTGGGGAAACGGAACGCATTTGCTCCCAGGCACATGCCCACTTCTAATGCCCTTTCGTGGCTCAGGAACTGTGCCATCAAATCTGAATAGAAGTTTCAAATCAGTTAATCTGAAAATGCAAGACTGTTGAGCATAAGAACAAGTACAAAATTTGGACTACCATAACATATCTATAAATTACTGTATTATTAGTGTTATTACGAAGTATGTATACTGGTTAAAAGATAATTAAATCTCAAAATGCGACTGGGTGACCAAAACATATCTAAAATATAAGCTGTATTAGTATTTGTAGTGGTTAGAAGATACTAAGTATCAATATCAAAATGCAAAAGCTAAATTGAGTTCTCAGCAAACATAAATGTGACCAATATTATCATCGCTGCGATTATACAAATTATTTTCCTGAATGCAGACCACTTAGGGCCAGTTCACTGACAGTATGCAGTGGGTGGCTGCACGCTAAGGAACTATTTCATTACAGGAACCTTTTACCAATTGTAAGAAATTACTGTTGTGCCTCTCAAAAGGAAAGAGAGAAGAACATACTTTCAAGCAGTCATGGAACTAGCAAATGCATGTAGCCTTCAGAAAGCATACCTAGGTTTTGATCGAGCATCTATAAGTTGATGTGTCTGGGTCTTGATGTTCTCTTTCACCTGAGAAAATCATCTATTAGTTGCTAAGAAATATGCAGAAAGAATTCGGTAAGTCACGAAGAAATATGCAGAAAGAATTCGGTGAGTCACGAAGAAAACAACAAGCAGGATGGGACAAGCACTGACCTGATCAAGATTCCAAAGAAGATGAGGCTGCAGCTTTGCTTCAAATGTGGTTGGACCAACCTGGAGAAACATATTGAGGTTAAACCATCATTACAGCAAATGCTAACCATATCCATCCAAATTTAAGCTCAATAGCAGTAGTAAGGCTCTTGCAGTGCTGTTGCAACTTGCAACGGAAGTATTGCCAAAAGAAACAGGAAATAGAAAATAATAGAATAAATTACCGATTGACCCTGGTACACTTTCTCAATTGCTTCACCAGCCGCACTAGCCTTTAGGATGGCATCACTGGAGGCACTTGATTCAACATCGTACCCAGAAGCACGCCATTGGGGCAAACCTCCATCTAACACCCAAACTTTATCATGTCCAAATACACGGAACATCCTGTTGTCAAGGTAACAAGCATGGCACAACAGTATTATAAATTATATGTCAAAACAAACAAAGAATTGCACAAAGATCATGGCAAGGGGAACTTAGCAATCATGAATGACCAAATAAGATTTGAATCTACTGCTCATTTGGTTTTCAACCCTAGCAATTTTTTACATACTTTTGTGAAGAAAAGAATCTTACCACCAAACACGAGCAGCACTGAACAGCCCCTTTCCATCATAAACTACTATCCCATCTTTGTTGTAGATGCCAAGAGCAGATACAGCAGCTGAAAATGCCTTTTCAGATGGCAGCATGTGTGGTAACTGAACAAGGAAAAAATATATAACCAACAGATGTCAAATCAAAATGCAGATTCTCACCAAAAAGAAAAAAATCACTAGTTAGATCAGACGATATTAGTATCATCAACAAGCAATAAAAAGAATGCAAGTACTAAGTAGACATGCCATGTTTCGCAAACTAAACTACAGTGAATGGCATAATTATGATGGCCTTCACAAAGAATGATAAATCTATGTATATACAATATAATATAAGGTGACAAGTCTACGGACAAGGAAGGAAAAAAAGTTATAGACTTCTGTCTTCTTTCTCAGTTTATAAAGAATAGTTCAGATCATTTTCAAAAAAAAAGAAGAATAGTTCAGATGATATCCAACGCTTTGATCTACGTAAAGTTAGAAGCTGAACCCAGGCAATGTTCAGAGGATTAGTGTAACACCCTAGGTGTTACGAACTTAATAAAGACTTGACCGTGTTCATCATCATGCATAACCATTAAGCATTAAGGCATAAATGCATTTCATGTTTCAATTATAGCATGAATATGTTGCTTATGATGTGTCTCATGTGTTCCATGAAATGTTAGCAATAATAGTGATTAAGGTTCATTGATTGGTATGAGGTTTGTACTTTGCAACTGTACTATTGGTTGAATTGTTTGACAACTAGTTAATCACCCAATTAATCACCCAATGTAGCTAATTAGCTGTTTTACTAACCCTAACCAAAAATCAGGTTTCAAATTCCACTCTTTAACCGGTTCGAATTAGGGGTTGAGCCTTAAAGCAAAGTTGAAGATCTCGTCTAGCTGAGCAACTTTTGTTTTTGGAGTTTTTCAAGTGGTTACATGAATTTGGGAGACATTGGAAGAGAAGAGGGGCCATTGCTACAGTGCATCGCCAGCAGTAGCTTATCTGCCTCGTCACCGCTGTGCGCCATTGGCCATCTTCGCGCTGCCTCTCGCGCCTGGACGCGCGGACGCCTGCGTGGCCGTGTTCGCGAAGGTGCTAGCGAAGTTGGAGATGTCGCCCTCGCCTTTAAAAGCTCGACGCCAGCGCTCTCTCTCTCTTTTCCATCTCTGCGCCGCCGCCGGCAGAGCTAATGTCGCCGGCGAAATTCATCGCCACCAATTCCCCTTCATCCAATTCCTCTTGCTCACAGCCTCGTCTGCTCCTTGCGCATCCACCCGACTCGCTTGCGCCACCTCTATTCACCGGACTCGCCCACCACGCTGCCGCCGTCGCAGTCATGTCGCCATGACCGCCGTGCTCCACCTCACCGTGGCCATCACGCCTCGCTGCAGTTCTCTCCCTACCAATCCGTGTTTCGAGCTCCTTATGTTACCGTGATGCTCACCATCCTTTTGGTTTTACCTCTACCGCACAGGAGCCATCAGGACGTGACCTCGTCGTCGGGTTCGCGCCGCCGCACCCGCCCTCAACGACGGTGATGCATCTCCGCCGCGACTCCGCCCCAATCACGTAGCTCAACGTGATCGCAGTGAGTCCCTGGTGCTGACCGCCGCCTTAGTTTAACCGCTACCGGTACCTCGTGGCCGGCGTGTCGCCGCTGCGCCGCCGTGGCCGCCATGGCCAGCGCTGTGCTCGCCGCGAAACCCTAGCTAGTAGTTTAGTACCTTGGATCGATGCGCCTTGGTGTGGGGGTCACATTGGTACCCTTCGCGTCGCCGGCCGACTCACCGCCGGTGAGATGCGCCGCTTACCCGCCGGCACGCCACTGTCAAGGGCGGGGCTGGGTCGGTTTGACCCTGGCCCCCACGTGTCAGTGAGAGAGGGTAGGAGAGAGGCGGGTGAGAAAAGTTGCTGGCGCCGAAAAATGATTTTCTCTTTTTCAGAAATGATTAAAAGTGCTGATTTTTGTTATTTTCATAACTAATTATAGAAACATGATAAAATTGTGAAATTTTGTGTGTAGCCTTGTTATGTTATGCTCTACCATGGAAAAATATGAACTGGTCATTTTCAGTACTTTTGGTATGCTTAAAAATTACTTCTTTTAATTAATAAATGGATCTTGCATGATTTTTATAAGCTAAGATAATTATGCTTTAATCATGAAACTTTATGTGTATGCTTTACATGCTAATACCTGCCTTCACAAAAAGTTGGGTACTGTTTTGATAAATGTAACTTGGTCAATTAATTTAACCATGTTTAAATGTCTTTTATGGATTAATAAAAATAACAAAATGATTTCTATAAATTCTTAAATGACTTTGATATGATTTTGGGATTGATTGTGGACCTTGGGACACCCAAACCCTGTTGTTCCATGGCAATGTAATTACTTGTTTGATATGCTTATAATCAACATGCTTTATATAATAATTAGAATGCCTTGATTTAATGTTTAGTTTTATAAGTCCTTTATAATAATCATTAGTTAAGATATATGTTAAACCTCTTGCTGTTCTATGTTGAGTTTAAATCCTTTCATGATAACAACTAATTAACTTGATAGTTAATTAACTAAAATAATTTTTAGAATAATTAACACTAGTTCTTAGCGAAGGAAAGTTGTACTCAAGTTGTGTATCTTGTTGTGTTCATCAATACCCATGTTGCATCCAACATGCATCATGTTTATTGCATTTCATCATGTTAAGCATTGCATCATCTTGTTACGTGTAGTAAACGTGAGTGAGAAGGTTCGTGATGGACAAGCTTCAGAGAAGATTCTTCCTCCAGTGATGTTGATGTCATGTTCGTTCTATGATCCTTCTACGGAATCTAACCTTCTCTGCGACACAGGCAAGCCCCGGAACATACAACCCTTTCCTTGTATTTACAAATACTTTTATAATTCGAGTCTTATGATATGTGCATTAAGTAAAATAGGAATTGGTTGTATACCCAATTACTGCATGACTTTCCTTGATATTCCAATACTTTTCCTTGTCACCCTTTAGTAGTGATAGGCTAGTGATGCTTAGCCATGCTTAGTGATAAGAGTTAACTGATGAGTTCATTATTCACAATGGTTCTTTACTCAGGAGACGTCCTGAGGATTAAATGATGATAAAGTTAAATGGAGACCGAACGGGACGTGGGAATTGTCTTTGGTGGTTAAGCCGACGGGGTTGCCTGGTTGTGCTTGTCCTGTCCGTGTCGATTAAGGACCGATCGTTGTAGGGCCGCTTGTGGTCGAGACTTTGCAGTACCGACCACATACTCCGGTAAGCCTAATATCTCGGCTATTCCATCATGTGAAAAGAAAACCGCGCACTGGGAGTGGGAGATGGCGAGAGTAGCGTGTACACACCCTACGGAAACATCTGGGATGACGTAGGGCGGTGGAGTACTGTGCTCTCGGGTAGCGCAGACCGGTCCATGTTTTGGAGGATACGAATGAAGGTTGATATATGGAGGTCTAGGACCTGCATATGTCGTGTGATTGGGAATCCCCAGCTGGGTTTTAATCGATTCGAATCGCCGCTGCTTCTCGAAAAAGAAGACTCGATCAACTGAACTGCATCATAGTTAATCAATGAAACATGGTGACTTATGGATATGAGAAGAAAAGAGTTGAGATGTTTAAAGAAGTGATTGATTTAGATCACGTGCAAACTGGATATTGATATGGACTTAATACACCGCTAAAACATTGAAAGGATTCACTCGTAGTAAGCTTTTCTGCAAAAGTTATTTTTGCTTCAGACTATCCCTTTAAGCCTTCATACCCTTGGAGTCTTTTCTTTTAGTCGGGTAAGTCTTGTTGAGTACCCTCAAGTACTCAGGGTTTGTTAACCCCTGTTGCAGGTTCTGACTTGTGCTGCTAATCAAGGTCATGTCGGTGGGCTCGACATGATCTGATCGTCTCTTCTATCTTAGGAACTTCACTTAAGTTATTTCCGTAGTTCTACTCAACTTTTGGAACTCAAGTGTTACTTAAAGGTACATAACATGTTTTGTAACCTAATGTTGTAAATCTTCCGCAACTCCGATGTATGAATTTTTTGTATCAATGTTGTAATGTTGTGGTAACTCCATTGTTAATCCTGTGTGAGTTGTAAAATGTGGATGATTCGGGGTTCCCCGAGGACACCCGACAGACTACTGGATTATCTGGCTTTCGTGTACAGCAGTCAAAGGTCTTCAGGACAATGACGGGTACACGTGGGCCAGCATAATTTGGGTGATTCTGCCACAATTAGCAAGCAAGCTCCTATACCATCATTACAGAGAATAGTTCTGATGCCATCCAACACCTGATGTAATCTGAAGTTACAAGCTGAACCAAGGCTATGTTCAGAAGAATTAGCAGGCAACTCCCATACTATAAGCACAACTAACATTTTAGAAGAAATTGATATGGGCCACTAGACAGCTTGATACCATCAAGGTTGTCAAGGAAACTAGCCAGGGCCAGCCAGAGCTGCCCCAAAAGGGACCTAAATATATAGAGTTATAGACAAGAAGAATGGGAAAGGAAACGATTGGTAGCGCATGATCTAACTACAGCAACTAAGTAACACATTGAATGGTTAATTATGGGGCAACTCAAAATGTGGACATGTGGTTACCAGTCTACCAGATCACAACACCTGAGGAAGTTACCACCAAACTGTGTGTGTTCAGATCTGTATGCCCCTGTTTTAATGTTATTGTTTTCAACTTTCACTTTCAGATGTTGACTAGCCTATTGCAGACATGCAACTAATAACTAAGACAGTGGCATTGGATTTGTCACCTCTACAAGTACTATTAATGCACATGGAATGATGTGCAGAGCAGAATATTTCATCTACTAGCAAAAAAGGGGTTGCCACTTGCCACCTTGTCCTAAAAATCGATTTAGTAGGGTTCTTGTGAAATTCTATTTAGTCTAGTATACTCAGGCAACAACTCAAGTGCTTAACACTCATAAACCTTTTTGTCATTTATATCAAGGACTAGCAATATCAATTGATAACTAGAAGAGAATCAATGATAACAGTAGTGTAACTCAAAATTACATATGGTACATAAACAGAGTTTGTATGATTTTGTAGTCAGCAACAATAAAGGGTACAAACAACAGAGCTGAACTTACACTAGATGTTCTGTCAGATATTCCATCAACATCAAAGAACAAAGCACCAGGAATATGGGCCACCTAGAAACAAGATTGAAGCATTAGAATATCTGCATTATACTTTCAATTATGGACCTATCATTTCCCATAATGGACAGGTTAGGTATGCTTTGCTTAGTATTTACTAGGGTTGGTACACCTGTTAATGTATATATCTTAATGTATCAGTTTAGGCATGCTGTATGCCTACTGATAAGCATTCCCATGTAGTGAGTGACACACTGAGGAAATAATTTGAAGTTCAGATGTGCAGGGATTTGATTCACCAAAAAAATAATTAGACCAATAAAAATGTGTACAAAACCATCAGAGAATGCAAGTGCAATGGCATACTAGCATAAGAATCCAGAAATCCTAGCTGCAAAAACAAGCTGAATGGATACCTGGTACTCTTGTAATGGATTCCTTTGTTCTGCAGGCATATACCAAGAGGCATCAAGTACCTAGACAGAAGTAAGGTTAACAAGTAGTGGATTGGAAGAAAGACACATTTGATAGAACAAGGTGTAACTGGTAAGTAAATCCCGTTGTTGTAGTTAAATTTGCGAATACAGGTTTTATTACTAATCATGGTAAGTCTATACCATAGTGTCAAACAAGCCTAAGTATTCTCAGCAGCACCGATTGTGAAGATCAAATAGTGGGTGAACGCCCCAGCTTCCCGGCTGAACTGTAGTAGAAGCACATTAACCACTTATCCAAAATTAAGGTGCCTATTTTCTTCTTAGACAGCATCGGTTCATCTAATGGCAAGACTCCCATAGATTATCAGTCAACTAAGTCTAACCATAGAGCTCATTACTGAATGGCAATCAATATAACTACTAATAATACCTTTGTTTGACTTGTCGAATTGCCGGTTACAAGTTGCACAAGTAATAATTTACAGGCCAAGCGCAGATCGCCACAGTCCAGCACTGACTACTACTAACTACTAACTACTGAGAGCTACGCGCACCTTGACGTCGGGGTCCTTGAGGTTGGCGTGCAGCCACTCGGCCGACACCACGGGCTCCGTCCGGGGTAGCGTGTGGACGCCGGCAGCCTCCGACACCGCGGACGACGACGTGGCGTTGCACCGTGCCGCGATCCCGAACGCGCTCGCCAGAGGCGACGGCCCGCACCGGGACCCACCGGCGCCCTCCGCCGCGCGGACCGCCCACCCGACCCGACCCTGCACGCGCGAGAACCGAGGAACACGTCAGATTGGGGGAGGACCGAGGCGGCGGCGAAGCGGCGGGGTTTTACGACCGCGAGGGGCGTGGCGGTGGCGAAGAGGAGCAGCAGCAGTAGTAGTAGTAGGGGAGGAAGGGGGGTTTTCCTTGGGGAGGAGGGAGGCCCGAGCGAGGAGGCGGTTCGGCCGGGCCGCGCCGCGCAGCGCCGCAGCGGCGGCGCGGGAGAGGAGGGAGGCCGCCATGGGTGGGTAGGGTTCTGGACGGGGGTTCTAGAAGGTTCGGGAAGGGGAGTGTGGAGATGGGTGGCGTGGGGGTGGGGGTGGGGGTGGGCGTGGAGAGAAAGAAGGGGATGGGTGGTGGGTTTTGATGTCGACGTGGCGATGGTGCTCTGGACAGGTGATTGAATGGAATGGAATCCTCGTCAATCCGCGGCTCCGGTGGGCAGCCTCCTCCCGGTCCCGGATTTGGAAACCACGGGTCGTAATTACCGACTGAACGTTTGTTCAGATTTTCTCACTTAGATTAGTTGTAACTTAATTACTCGGGTAGTTAATATTTATTTGGAATAAGTTTGTCCGTTTTGAAAATGTAGAATGAAAGCATTAGGTGTGCTTGTGCATAGTCCCAAATTGTCCAAATTTTCTTCGACCAATTTTGCGGAGCGATGTTCTCTGCTGGTTTATATTTGAGACAGTTTCCTGTGTGCCATTAAAAAAAGATCGCATAATGCTATGTGTCTACGAAAAAAGTTCAGCGGTCTTGGTACGTCATTACTTTAAGCTTTTTCGTGTCATTCACGTCATGCCATACATTAGGTTTAGGCTCTCTGCCGTTAAATGCGCAGTGTAAAAAAACGAAAATACCTTAAGTCTAAATATGTTATTAATTTTTTTGAGCATCTTATTGACTTGAGATGAAAAAACTTAAAAACAGAGAAAGTTGTAGATCTCGTCGAGATATATAATTTTCATATAAAATTATTTTCATTTAATTCCACAAAAAAATGATTTGTTGCGGAATTAAATGAAAATAATTTTTATATGAAAATTATAGATCTCGACGAGATCTACAACTTTCTAGTTTTGAGTTTTTTCATTTAAAGTCGTTAAGATGCTCAAAAAATTAATAACATATTTAGACTTAAGGGTATTTTTGTCTTTTTTCACACTGTATTTGACAAAGATTAGAGCCCAAAACCCACGGAAGTGGCACGGAGGACACGAAAAAGCTGGAGTAGTGGCACTTTGAAGACCGCTGAACTTTCCAGAGACACAGGCATTACGATCTTTTAATGGCACATGTAAAAATCCCCTTATATTTTGAGATTTTTCACAGTGTGCCATTATAAAGATCGTAAATCTCTGTGCTTCTGAAAAATTCAATTCATGGTCTTCAGCGCCACTACTTCAACTTTTCGGGTCCTCCATGCCACTTAAATGGGTTTAGGCTCTAATCAAACTACATGTGAAAAGGCGAAAATGCCATTAAGTTCAAATATATTTATTAATTTTTTTGATGATTTTCAAGATATATTAAAATATCAAATCATATTTTTTTTATGGAATTAAATGAAAATAATTTTATATGAAAATTATTTTCATTTGACGAGATTACAACTTAAAAGTTTTGAGTTTTTTCATATTTGAATATTAAGATGCTCAAAAAATTAATAAACATATTTGAACTTAAGGGCATTTTCGCCTTTTCACACTGATAGCTTGATGGGCAAGTAGAGCCTTGAACTGACGGAAGTGGCTTGGAGGACCCGAAAAAGTTGGAGTAGTGGCGCTGAAGACCGCTGAATTTTTCCAGAGGCACACAGGGGATTATGATCTTTTATAATGGCACACAGGGAAAAGTCTCTTATATTTTTACCATAATAAATAGTTTGTGATTATACAGTACTCCCTTCATCTAGGAAATGTTAGGTTAAACTTCAGTTTGATCAAATTTAGAGAAAAAAAAGAAATATATTTTGATCATATATCCATTTTGTGTTATAAATGTTGATATTCTTTTATAAACTGCCAATTTTTAGATAGCTTAACTAAGGATAGAACAAGAGTTGTTTTCTTTTCAAGACGAGGGTAGCAATTTACGATGAATGTTTTTCAGCTTTTGTGGGATTTACCATCACCTTGCGCTTATTGTATGTTTCATCCCTTAATGGCCACAGTGGCTTTCGCCAAAAACTATATCTTCATTGTTAATGGTATACTAGATAGTGTGCTCGTGCGTTGCTACGGGATAGCTAACAATTTATACTAAAAACACACGGATCGTACACACGGATCGCACGATAAGATAACAATACTGTAAAAATTAAATATCAACGTTAAAGTTATAGTTAATCCAAAAAACAAAATTTGTGAAATAAACATACTCCGTTCTAATCTCCATGACGATGGTTCATACACAAAAAAAAAAATGCAGAGGGAACGGAATATCAAAAGAAGCATGCCTGTGAATGTTTTTTTACCTGAATGCTTGTGAACAGGGCTTTGAGAATAGAGAAGTGACATATATTAGCTTGCCCTAAATGTCATATAATTATAAACAAATGGTGTACTTGGCTAGAAATATATAGTCAGTTTCTTTCACTAAAGGAAATACCAAGGAAGAATGACCTAGAAATATGCACCAGACTATAACATCATGTGGTAATACATTATTTTTTGAAAATAATAGATTATTAGAGTATAATAGTGAATCGAAGACACATCGACGAAACAGACATTTCTAGGTCGACCAAAAATGGAGTTTTAAGCCTATATCACATTTCAATCCTCTTAGCAGCAGGTCGACCAAAAATAGAGTTTTAAGCCTCTAGCACATTTCAGTCCTCTAGCAGTAGAAAACACACATCAGCAGCAACCTAATTTCCATTACATCTTCATTGAATTATGCTGCACTACAACTTAAGTAAGCTCAACATTAACTGCAAAATCAGATTGCGTTTAAACCCTATATGTATATCGTAGTCCTAGACACCACGATGAGCTCCTAATTTCTAACCAATCCTATTCCCATCTTGGTATTTGGTCACTGCTAGAACAGCGCCCTTCAGATATAAGTTGCTCAAACTTTCTGGCGAGTACAGCTCCATAAGACATAAGAGCTGATGAACTGAAGCACATGGCTCAAACTTTTTAGAGCATTCACTACCGGAAACAGTGGCTTTGTCGTGTGCCACAGGCACTCGATAAAGCCAAAAAACACTCGGCAAAGGCTTTGTCGAGTATAACACCTCAGTTAGTCAGTTTAATGGATACTACTTTTATTTTAAGCTGAATTATGTATCAACCATAATCAAACGGGAACCAGAAAGATAAATACTAAAACTTCTAATCTTATTATCAGAAATACAACTGTTCATTATGCCTTTTACTGTAAAAATTATCACGTGAATAAACATATGCCTTCATTTCACTCATTTTATGCTTCTCCTTGTGTGGATTTTGGATAAAGATGTTTTAGCGTATATACAAACCAGGTCATGGTGTCGGAATCTGGAGTACTATGGTGAATTGGCAGAATTTTACGTTCTTTTCATACTATTCATATGCTTCTTATTTTTTAAAAGAAAATTTTAGATTGGATAAATAATATATATTTGCTAATATACCAGGTTCTGTTGTCCCTCGTCACAGCCGGCATCAACAAGCAGCGTCGTCCAGCAAGACAGAACTGACGGGGATAGCCTCCCTTCTGATGAACAACTCGTCGAGCAGGAAATCACTGGAAAAAAGTTAACTAAAAGGAAGTATATTATTGGATACTTTGTAGTATTGTTGGTGTCCTTGTTGATTCTGATATCAGCCGAAGTTATAAAATTTACGTAAATGTGCGAGGCACGGTTTTTTTAATCTAGGTTATCTGTGCGATTCATTTCAATTTGCTGAGCATGGCTGTGGCTCTCCATGGCTCCAAGGCAACACTGCACCATACCACAAAGAGGATTGTTAAACAATTGCAGGAGCACTCTCAAGACTTGGAAATATGATATCATAGTTTACTTGATTTGGTTGCAACAGGTATAATCATTTTTTCCGGTGCAACACACATTTAAATCTAAATTATCCGGTAGTGTGCCCATTAGTTGCTACGGGATAACTAAATTTTTATACTAAAAATATACGAATCGCACGATAAGATAACAATATTGTGAAATTAATAATCAACCAAATATGCTTCTTGTTTGTTATAAATGGACAGTCATATGTCTTTTTATCTTGCTTGTTATAAACTGGCAACCATGCCTTCCCATATGGTCATCATGGCCTTGACAAACTCCTCTTAGTTAATCTAGCCGTTGCCGAATAGATGCCGTTGTCAAATGGTTAGTGTGCGCATCGGCCGCTTTGGGCACGACATCCATGGCATGCCCGTCAAAACGGGGCAACGCAAGCGCGCGTGGTGATCTCAGGACATGATCGAGTCTTACTGCCACCAACTTTCTTCCACATTGAGGCGGTCTGACACGGATGAGATGCGCCCACAGTCAAGGTCTATGCCCATGCGTTATAACGGGACAATAATTATGTATGTTGGGGCAATTTTTCTAGATAATGCAATAAAAAGAATCAGTTCAACCATGTAATATGTCTATATGCACCCAAATAAAAAAATACTATTGCCCACTATGAAACTATTTTTTTTGTCACTTTACATTGAGCAAAAGGTTTGCAAGCCAATGCTTGCTTGTAAGTGTTATGATCCATGGAGAGACTAAGCGTGATTTAGAATGGCCCCACTGATCACGCATCCAGCTAGCTATTCCTCCCCTGCATCAAATCAACAGGAACGGGGAAAATAGTTGCTAAAACCGAAATGCAACAGAAAGCCTCCTCTTAAGAAAAACAGGTATTAAATGTTTAACAATCATCATTCTAAACGACTGGTTATCATTTAAAGTTTTCAAAACCATTCGAACCTAACAGGATCAGATGGTTGGAACATCTGGACATGACAGCATGTGTTTTATGAGGTGATAACCTTGGCTCTTTGGAAGTGGTTCAACAACTGCCTTTTGTTCGCTACCAGTAAGCTACACTGCAGATTACAAACATGATCTTGAGTTAAATTAGTACAAGAGTACATGACACAGTGAGACATAACTGCAAATAGTTGGGCAGAGGTAATAACTAAGTATATATTCCTAATAGAAGCAAATAGAAAGAATGGAAACGGAAAGGAGGAAGCCAACGCCCAGGATTAGTTATATGATCTCACTGATTAAAAGTACAATCAACTTAAAAACTAACATAATATATTAGGCTTGTTTGACATACTTGAAGAGTGATGTGTCCAAACATTTTTAATACAATAGATACTCTTCTCTGTTAAATGAACTTAGCAGTTCTGTGCCAGTTAATATAGCTCCAAACAACCCAATGATAAGTTTTTGTGATTGGACGGTAAAGTATATTTTATACAAATAATTAAAAGAAAAATTGTCCATGGATCATCATTCTTTGGTATTCAGTAGCTAATTAGAAATATAGCATATTGTCCGTACTAACGTCACGGTGGCATCTAGAAAAAATAAATCATAAAACTAAAAAAAGAAATACTGCCCGTGCTATCGCTACGGTAGTATTTCGAGCATGCACATGAAAACAAGAAAAAAGAAGATATATGTTTCCATAGTTAAGAATAAAATGGGATATTTAAGTTCCACAAAAAATAAATGACACGGCGTTGCTATTACAGCACAAACATCATATTCCAAGGGAGTTTTCACATTTCATGAACTGCTACTGCCTGACATGCCTCTCATGACACTGCAGGGCCACCACACAGTCCCAACATGTCTCTATCACAATCGAAAAAAAGTCTCTCACCACCCCTAACAAACACAAGATGATTTCAATAACAAATTATTCGCAGCAAGTAATAAGGACTACAACTAACTTGGCACCCCATAAACCATAAATAGCTCAAGAGCAAGTAGTCTGGTACTAAGAACTAAAACTCTTGTTATCATTCACAGTTAACACATACTAATACAAAGGTGTCGGTGCAGAAAGTGACAAACATGTAAATATTTGTAGTTTTGTCATACGTTGTGATCGGATGTGGCCTAGTACTCAATGAAACAGGGTTTATATTAGTTTAGGCAACGTGCCCTACGTCCAGTTTGAGTCGGTCGGTGACTTTAATCCTGAGCCCAGGTGCTCAAAATTTGCTATGGGGTTACAAACGGAAGGGAGAAAGATGGGAGTGCAGTGGCCCGGTTGGACTCCAAACTAGAGGGCCGAGAGTTACGGGAGCTCCGCTATGCGCTAAGTGTTCGAGCGTGTGCTCGAGTATTTGAACCTAGTAGTTCTGTTGTGTGTGTGAGTGAGCTGATCCATCTCTTTTTGGGAGAAAGCGTGTCCCTTTTTATAGATGAAGGAAATGGCCTTATAAGAGAGAGAGAGAGTACGTATGCTAAGTCTTGTTGCCCACGCCGTCGGGTACAAGATGAATATAGGCGCCCATAACACTGTTAATGTCAGATGCATGTGGGAGGTTGCGTCGTCTTCTTTCGGCATAGCAGATGTCGGTGCCTGCTATACTGTTGATGTCCAGAGGCATGTGAGGGGTTTTACCGTGTTCGCCTGGTAAGGTAAATGCCGGCGCTCACAACACTGTTGATGCCTAGAGGCATGTGGGGGGAGCCTTACCGTGTTTGTCTGGTATGGGAGTTGATGACGCCTACAACACTGTAGGGCAAATATCGGCGCCCACAACACTGCTTGGGCTCTGATATGCCAGGAAGGTTGCAGGGTACCCTTCTAACATTCCCTGTTGGTACTGTTCTGCAGGTGTACAGAGTACATTCCTCGGTTTTGCAGTTGACTTGGATGCCCTGCCTTACTTTCTCCGTCCATTTCCTGGTCCTCACCAAGCGGGCGTCCCCGATCGGTTGGTCCCAGTCGGCTCTGATTGCGCCAGTCGGAGAGGAGCTGTAAGCAGGGGTTCGACGCATCTCCGGTCGGAGAAGCGGGTCAGAGTCGGAAGTGGTGTTTTGGCCTGGCCTTCCGGTCGGAGAAGCCGTCCGGAGGCGGGCTAGAGTCGGAAGCGAGCGTTGTTTTTCTTCCGGTCGGAGGGACGGGCCGGAGTCGGAAGTGGGCGCCATTCCTCCTCGGCCAGACCTTCCGGTAGGAGATTTGGATCGTCCTTCCGGCCTGTCGTTTAGGTTTTTTAGGCCGGCCCAGGAGTTGCGCGTCGTTCGCAATGTCGCCTGCTAGGCCGAGCCTTTGCTGGGAAGCTGGTCCATGAGGGACCCCTTGGTTTATGAACCCGACAAAAGGATTCTGAGGCCAAGTGGCAAAGATATGTGTTCTATGAAATGGATTAGGAAGATGCACTTTGTTTAACTGAAAACCATTGATTTCCAGGAGCAAGTTCAAATAATGTACAGATAAATCAGCATCCATCGTAGCCAGCCAGCCAGCTGCTACTGTGCTTTTCCTAGTACAAGGGAAATCGATACACGTAGAAGAAGATAAAAATCCTCTCATAACGTCTAAAATGCAGCAATGAGAAGCCACGATGGCAGCAACTCTGGTGAAGGCCAAGAAAATCCTATGAATACAGTCACCACTAAAGGTATACCTTTTGCCGACTAATCAGATACCACAGTTTCACAAATAATTTTCTGAGCCTTGGTGAACGGAGGAAAAGATTTAGCCTTTTAAAAGAGCACAAAAGGATAAAATGTATGAACAATCTGAATATAGGAGAAGGAACCATAGTTTTTTAAGGCTGATGTGCTAGGATACCTTGTGAAAATAAACAATGCAAGCATTCCAGAAGATCATTATTAGTTCATAGGGTGATGTTTCGCAGTGTAACCTGCTAATAAGATCTATCTCTTGCTGGCATGTTGGTTTTATCCAAAAAGATTGAGAAACTTTGAATTGATTAACAAATGCATATTTGATACCTATATATATATATATATATATATATATATATATATATGAAGATTACCACCATTTTAGTGGTGAAACCCATAGCCACTTTCGTGTATTTCTTTCTTTTCTTTTTTGCAAGCAAATCCTAGAAAAAAATGTGGGCTGAATCTATGAAGCCAACACAAAAATGGAAATTATGAATAAAACAGAAATAAATAGACAGAAGAAGCAAACCTGACTACGTCCATAAGACCCACTTGAGTAATATCAGAGGCTAAAGAAGAGGGAATAAGGTTCTATTGCTCTGGAAAATCTAACAGGCAACACCAACACAGGCAGAAGAGAACCTGCTCGATGTCAGTCACTGAAGAGATAACACCAACACATGTAGATATGTACGACTGAAATATGTTAGAGAATGTAATTTCCATACCTGCATGTATTGGCAAGCAACAAGCCTGCCTTTAGACCTGAGATTGATGTATCTTCGTGCGTTTTATTGTCAAGCTCCTACAGGACCAGAAACTATAAATTTACACAGGATGTAGGTACAATTTTACCCAGTGGCAATACTCAGTTATGTAACTAAAGTTCATCATGGAGGTATTAAGGACCAGAAACTATAAATTTTCTTGTTAATTCTCTCCCTATTGGTTTTGTAATATGAGTCCCTAATTCTGCTTTGATAAAGATATATGCAGCAGAGATTTGAATAAATATGTGCCTCTATCCGAGTCTGACTAATAGTGTACATTTACACTCTGTCTAAAGTAAGCTTCACAAGTGAATGATCACTGAGAAAGGTATACCTGGAGCTGGATCTTTTGTTACATTTGCAAGTTTGGACAAGGTCCTAGCTTCTAAATTGTTTTTATTCATGAAAACCACCTATGCAAATGAAAGGATTTCATCAGCGAGTCAATGATGACATTGATGATATGCCTTGTTTCCTTTGCACAGCTAATGCCCTTTCATGTAATATTCAAATAATTCAACCTAAATAAATTACTCGTCTAAAAAAACTAAATAAATTACTGTAATCAGTAGCGATATTGGCTGAAATCCCCCAAATCTAAACCAGAAAGACACCTATATGGCCATACCAATCGAGGAGAAACACAGAAAACATAGAAACAACAGGACAGGTGACAAGCGGACCTTTGATATGCAGCTCGAGGTCGTCAAACTCGAATCGATAGCCGGACAGCAGCCTCCGCGCTATGGCGCCGACCTGCGCGTTGCCGTCGCGGTCGGTGCTGGTGCGGAGGACGCCCACGAGATCTTCGGTGTTGGAGAGGAGTCTTTCCACCCCTAGGCTCTCGCCCGCGCCTGCCGCCATCAGACTGGTCTGCGCCGGCACCGACGGGAACCCTAGCTCCCTAGTCCCCACCTCTCCCGCCTGCGGGCCCGGTGCCGGTGAAGAGAGACACGGGTCAGTCTCGTAGGTTAGGGAGTGGGGATGTACGACCGGCGGCCACGACAACGGATGCCGTTGCTTTGCCGCCGGGAAGGGCAAGGAGGAGGGCGGGCGCGGGTCGTGGCTGCAGGGGTAGAGCGGGCGGCTCGCCATGGCGGCGGCCAAACCCTGGAAGAAGAGAGAGGATGCGGGATGGGGAGGTTGCGGGGAGCTGCACGCACGTCAAGGCCCACGTGTCGGCGCGGGGATCGCACGGGGACGGCAGGACGACGACGCGAAACGTTAGAACGTCGCACAAAAAAATGTCCACGCTTTGTTCTTTTTAGTTGTAGGAGAATACTATTTTTTTCAAAATTCAGTTAAATTTCAAATGTTATAATGCAAATTATTGTGCCATAGGGGCCTCCCCCGTCCTCCCATGATCGCTCATATCACTACATCTCTCTTCACATCATATCACTAAAAAAATTATCATCAATGACAAACCTATTTAACAAAGTATTCCCTCAGTCTAATAATATAGGTACTCATTGGTTTGTCCTAAGTCAGACATAAAAAAGTTTAACTTAGAACAACTAGAGTAGATCGAAGCAAAAATTGTGCTCCGGTAATGACCAACCATTTCAGGAATAAAGAATGCATTCCAGTTTTTTAGGGGAGAAAAAGCACACTATTGTGTAAATTTCATACGAGAGAACTTTATTGACCTCTCTGTTGTCATCAAGATTACCACAAATTCATAGTCGTCTTGTTGGAGAAAAAAGAAAACATAGTCATAACTGATCATCAGACACGATATTCTTCCATAGTTCACACTCGGCACCAGTGCGGAACCGAGAGCAAAGAAGTCATCCACCATTTACCAGTCACGCTAAGATTTATTACGACCAGCCTTCTCCTCAATACCAGACTGCGAAAATCTCTTCCTCAGGACCTCAAGGACTTCCTCCATCATTACATCCTTGACTCTGAGCAGCACCATAGCATGGTACAGCAGATCAGCCATCTCTGAAGCAGCACGAGATTGGTCCTCGTTCTCGAGCAGTGTTTGAATTAGTTCACCAGCTTCTTCACTGAATTATATGCAAAAATAACAGAACTGACATTAAGAGAAATATATTGCCATTCTCATTAAGAGAAAGTAGGGAGAACAAACATGGCAATAACAAAAGAAAAGGTATGAAATGTGCCTCAGTCAGGTAAATGGACTCTCACAGACATTTATTGATGCCAAGTCATAGACTCAATACACAACCATCAATAAACAAATCCTGACACTAAGACAAATGAATTTATCTGTTTTGGTCTCCTGTACCAATCAAATCTTGTTGCACCAAATTAACCCATCAATTCTTCAGTCAAATGCAGTGCTATGAAAGCATAAATAAACACAACTGAGGCATTAAGCTAATTCAACATGAATATATTTTAAAATGCAGAACTTGGTGAACTAGACTAAGAAAAAGGGAGAAAAGACTCAATGCTTTAATACCTGTTCTCTTTCCCATTAAAATTAACAGTTTTCATAATAATACAGTACCGTGATGGCTCAGAAAAAACATAACATCACATACCGTATTTTCGAGCAAAGTAGCTGGTTATCAAGCAGTAGTTTTTTGGTCCATGATGGCTTGCCACCTCCTTCAGTAACTATCTCCTCCTGTCTTCTACTAATTGTATCTTCAAGTGAGTATAGGGTTGTCACAACCTGCCTGCCTTCATTGGGCTGTGAACGGAAATCACATATTACTTTTAATCATGAGTCAAAGTCTATTGCAGGAAAGGGTAACTTGAGGATGTGTACCTTTGAACTTTGTAGAGCATCATAAACTGAAGTATAGTAACAGGTTTCTGCTCCTGTATGGCAGGTAGGTCCATCTGGCTTTCCAATGTATATTATCTAAGTTGTATGAAAATACAAAACATCTACACAGTTAGTACGCTCTGAAGTTGAAGTGAAAGTATTTACTCACAACACAAAACATGCTTACAGAATCACGGTCACAATCAAGGAAAATGTCATGGACATTAATGAAGTTCATGGACGTCTCCCCTTTTGTCCACAGGGAAGACCGTGAGCGGCTAAAGAATGTAGCTTTCCTGGTTGATATAGTTTTTGCAAGGGCTTCTTTGTTAGCAAAACCCTGCATAAGTATGGCTCCAGTATCCACATTCTGTGCAATAGCAACAGCCAACCCTTTGCTATCCCACTTCACACTGTCTAGTAACATGTCAACCTGATTTTTTTTATCCAGCACAATAATGAACATGTTAGGCTTTATTGATTTAATGATAGTTTAAACTCAGTATTAGGGAAACCATAAAAAATAGACATTCTCTTTCCATTCAAAACTGATGCAAAATTGTAACAGAGCTACTGCAAAGTCTCAAATGGCTGTAGTTCTTAATGCATTTTACTCAGTGAAAGAATAAAGATAAATGCTGCCCATCTGCCACCGCAGCTCCAGCCCCACCTCCCCAGTTCGCTTGAACTTATCAGTCATGGTACAGTGTTTTTCTCTCACAACAAATCAGCCAATAGTACTTTTTAGCCTGGCTTTTCAGCGAAACGAACAGAGCAACTTGCTCGAACAGTACTTTTTAGCCTGGCTTCGCGGCGGAGGCAACCCTACATGCAACCACCACCCTAGAGTTATCTTCCTTGATTTGTTCTCTAGAACATACAGTATATTAATATATAATTGGCATATTAGTCCTGGTATATATAGGACGACTAGGACCGACCAGGGTCACCCTGGTCAACTACTAATTGCGACTAGTCACCTGGTGTGGAGACTATGACTGACTAGACAATTTGATACTCTGTTCCAAAATAAACCAACTTCTGGCGAAGTACCTAGACAAGAGGGGGTAACATTGACGGTGCATCAAGAAAGTTGGCTGCAAGCAATGCACTAACACCATAATTTCTTCAAACACCATTATGGCATGCCATCCTATTTAGCATAACAGAGCAATCTACCCAGATCGAGAGGCAACAAGAAATGTATTTCCTGCGAGTCTCCTTGAGGCCTTGTTTGGATGTTGTCTTATTTACCTCAATCCACATGTGTTGGTGTGGATTAGAATGGAATTTAGTTCAAGTTCCACTCTAATCCAACCCAATACATGTGGATTGGGGTGAATACGATGACATCCAAACGGCCTGAGTGGACTAAATAAAACCTTGCACAACACTAGTGGTGGATCCTCATCCAGGGCTTGTAGTTGTAGCCATCATGTGGAAGTGTGGTACTCCAATCCCCCAACTATTTTGGTTCCGAGGTAATAAGAGAGAGGCAGATTTCGCGAGAAGAAAAGAAGAAACTCCAAACCTTGGGGTCGATGGCTACAGCTCCCGGCGCAGACTGCGCGGAGCCCGCCTCCACGGAGACTGCTGGGTACGGCTCCCTGCGCCTCCATCCAGGGGCCCAAGCAGCGACGGAGCGAAGATTGGGGCAGGATGTCCCGCTGGAGAACATTCCCGCGCGGCACGCCGAGGAAGAGGAGGACGCGGGCGAATGAGTTGGTGCCGCCGCCGGAGCCGCCGCCATCGGAACCCCGAGTGTGCGGTGTGTCTGAGTTCTTCAGAACAATTGAAGAATGGAATTCAGAATAAAGCACGAGTACGACAAACTGCTTGCCTGCTAGTTGCTAGTACGTACAAAGCCTGTGCAGCTGTACTTGTGCCGTTGTTCGCCCTGCGCCTGCCGTGTGCTGTGGCTGCAGCAGCACAGGAGATCAGGAGCGGGTACGGACGGCTGGCCGGCTGGCGCCGCCGTCCGCACGACCGCACGCCCCGGCAACCCCTCGATCTGGCGTCGCGCTTCCCCTCTCCCCGTGTGGCGATGTGGCTGCGCCTGCACCGCCGCTCGATTGGCCGGAGGCCGGCGCTAGAGTCCGATTCGGCCGGCGCTATGCCGGATTCGGCTAGCGGTAGCGGCGGGTTCGATTTGGCCGACGCTGTGTGGGAGAAGAGAGCGGCGACACGCGCGGTCACCAGCAGGTGCAGGTTTGCTCTGCGCTGGGGCGCCGGGAATTGGTTGCCTGGCCACATGGATTGGACCTTCAAATTTGGATGGCTTAGGCCCATATCCGCCACATGGGTTGGGCCTTCAAATTTGGATGGCCCGCCTTTCAGCTTTTGTCGGATTTCATCGGCATCTTCCACTTAGCTTATTGCGTGTTTCATTTCGTATCGGTCACGATGGCGTTGCCAGAAACTCGATTGTGAAGGGCCCAATTGTACTATTCTTTTTCAAAATTAAAGTAAAATATCAAATTTTATAATGCAACTTTGGTTCAACGGCACACCTCCCTCCGCGCATGATATGATTGCCACTACTATATCTTCTCTTCACATCACAGTACTAAAAATTATCATCAACGACAAAATACTTAAAACTAATGGCCCCGTTCGTTTCGCTTAAATTTGGCTGACTGCTGATGCTGATTTGCTGTGAGAGAAAACACTGTTTATTCGCTGAAAAGTACTGTTGAACTAGTGCTGAAAAACAGTGCGAATAAGGTCCCGTTTAACGCAACTTCTTCATTACTTTCAGCAATCTGTCTGGGTCTACTTTTTTCGAAATAGGTTAAAATGAATTAGCTCCTCAACTAGAGCTGAAAATATCCCTCTCCCAGATCTACTAGGAGAAGTTGTTTCACCAAATATTTTTTCAACACAGCTTCTGCTCCTCCACCAATGGAGTTACTCATGGTGCGAAAAAAAACTACCTAATAAATAAAGCAGACATGTATAAAACGGGGCCTAAACCTGCAGTGAAGTACTCCCTCCACCCATACTATATGTATTTATAGGTTTCTCCGAAGTCAAAACTATGTTCCGTTTCACTAAATTTATAGGAGAAAATATAGACATATAGAAAACTAAATTAATATTATTAAATCAGATGGTAAATAAATTTTATAATATACTTAACCGTGTGTCATAATAATTACTTTTTGTAGACTTTCAGACTAACCTAGTTAGATTATCTTTTATGACGGATGTATGTATGTAGTAGGAAAATTGTGAATCCCGCGTATTGGAGTATTATTAATTCCTGCTTTGTTTACTCTTTGTTTTTGTTTTTTGCAAAGTTATATAGGGTGGAATTACTATTTATATTTATATTATATAGGTTTTTTTTTATCTTAACTTCTTTCGGGGGGCATTATCTGTGTTGGGATTAGTGGTTTCTTTGTTCAGATCTAACTGGATCGGCATCGGCCCTCTGCTGAAAATTGATGAAGGTGACAGCTTAGACGCAAATTGTGTCAGCTGTAACTCTGCATGCTGGCTTGCAACTCTGCATTGACTGAAACATCTTCCAATCACCATGGGATTTCATGGCCATTTCAATAACTGAAGCATTTTTTATTCAAAGCTTAATTTAGCACTGTCATCATGGACTTCTGATTTTGATGAAACATACGTAACAAACACATATACACCCAGCTCCCTTTTCAAACTGCTGATTCTTGACTTGATGCGTCCTGTTGAACAAATGTTCAGTAAGTTGCAAATTAACAACTTCAGTAGCTCGGCTGTGAACTGTAGAAACAACGGTTATCAGAGCCGAACAAGCCCTACGCAAATGATCTGAAACCTAACTCATCATACAACCATTTCATCAACTTGACAAGGCCGACGGCTTCGTTGTGCCAACGCCATCACCGCCGCTCACGGTCGTCGCCGGTTCCATAGACGACGTTGTGGAGGCAGGACGATCGGCCGGCGGTCCGTAGGTAGCAACTGGCATCTTCGCGGGGAGGGTCGGCGGTGGCCCCTCGAACCGCAGCACGTTGACGGCCTGCCTGACGGTGGGACGCAGTCCGCGGTCCGGGTGCGCGCACCAGAGCCCGACGAGCATCGCGCACGCCATCTCCCGGCCGTCGAACTGGCCCCGGAGCCGCGCGTCGGCCGCGTCGAGGATGGTCCCGCCGCCGTACGAGTCCCAGACCCACTGCACCAGGTGGACGAAGTACTCCTCGTCCCCCACGCGCACGGCCGGCCGACGGCCGCAGGCGATCTCGAGGAGTAGGACCCCGAAGCTGTACACGTCCGACTCGACGGTCGCCCTCCCGGTGAGCATGCACTCCGGGTCCATGTACCCCATCGTGCCGGCGACGCCCGTCGTGTGCGACCGCCGGTCGTCGTCGATGAGCCGAGCGAGCCCGAAGTCGCCGAGCTTGGCGGTGAACGACGCGTTCAGCATGACGTTGCTCGGCTTGACGTCCCGGTGCACCACCCGCCGCTCGGCGTCCTGGTGCAGGTACAGCAGAGCTTCGCCGACGCCGAGCGCGATGCGGTACCTGACCGGCCACGTCAGCAGCTGGCTCTGGCTGTCCGGTCCGTGGAGGTGACGGTCGAGGCTACCGTTGGGCATCAGCTCGTAGACGATGAGCAGCTCGTCGTCGCCGCCGTGGCACCAGCCGATGAGCTGCACCAGGTTCCGGTGCCGGAGACGGCTGATGATCCTCACCTCGGAGACGAACTCCTTCCAGCCTTGCCGAGAGGTCTCCGACACCCTCTTCACGGCCACTTCGCGGTCAGAGTCGGTCAACAGCCCACGGTACACGGAGCCGAAGCCGCCTCTCCCGAGTCTCCGGTCGTCGGAGAAGTTTCCAGTGGCTGCGGCGAGCTCGTCGTAGCAGAATCGTCGGGGCCCGGTCACCACCCCCTCGAGGTCGTCTTCCACCTGCTTTCCGCGGAAAAATCTTTTGTCTTCTACTAGTGCTTGCTTGACAGTCTTTCTCACGACCATGAGATTTTGCCGTTTCCGCTGCCGGAGGCAGAACCAAACCGACAGACCGATGCAGAGCAAGAACGCAAAGGAAGCGGCAGAAACGAAGCCGGCGATCACCGCCAGGTTGCCGCGTTCGGGGGCACCTTGGTATTCCAAACCAATCGTTGGATTGTTAGTTTCGGACGGTCGACAAGAAATTAGAAGTGACCAAAAGAAAGAGACAAGCTAACCGTAAAAAAAAGCACCCGTCGCCGGACATCCCGTCCAGACATTTATCAGCTGGCTGCCTTAAGGATCAAGGTGTGGCAGTTTCAAACACGTGGCAGACACTGCTATCCTATTTGTCAAACCCAGTGTCCATCTTTGGCTCCTGCCTTATTTAAAGCACGGCAAAGTCTAAATGATGTGAAATTAGAAGAAACAGCGGCATCAATCCTAGTAGTATCTACGGGTTTTTTTTTTGTTCGGTGTGCGAAGAGTCTGTTCGGCTGATGGTTTCGGTGGCTGATAAGTCGGCTGATACTGATTTGTTGAAGAGAAAAACACTATACCTTAGCTGTGCAAAACACGAAATCAAATTTCTTGAAGTATGAAATTGCTTGGCAGTTGTAGCGTTGGAGATGGGCATACAAAAACCTAGCAGTGCTCCTCTCCTTTAGAAAGTGATATGCCACTGTTGCCACATTAAGGCAACGTAACATAACTTGGTGGGTTAGTGATGAGTGTGAACTGTGATTAGCTAGCTCGCGCGTGATTGACCGCAGGGAAGACTTCCGGGCCCCGCTGACGTGGCACGCCAGGCCCCGCTCACCAACACCCCACCCACACGGGATCCTCTGTGGCACGCGTGGATCCGTCCGTCAGACTGCGAGACTCCGACTGGATCGGAGCAACAAATAATGATCAGGAAGAACTCACCCACGCCGAAGTGGCATCCATCGCCGGCGGCGAACCCGTCGCCGGACAACCCGTCCACGCACGCGCACCGGTGGCCCCACGCCCCGCTCGGCGTCTCGACGTCGTGGCACGTCGCGTTCTGCGCGCAGCGAACCACGGTAGCGTTGGCGTTGGCGGAGGTGCTGTTGCACCTCCCGTCGAGCCACCATCCCAGCTCCGCGACGCCGAACTCCACCGAGGCCACCCCCTCCGGCGGCGTGTACGCATACACCGCAGACGTCACGTCCTCGCACCCAGCGTCGTCCACCCTCTTCCATTGCAGGAACAGGAACCGGCCATCCTCCTCGGCCGTCGCCGCAGCTGTGCTGTTCGGGGCCGGCGGCCGCGAGGCCACGCACGTCGAGGCGGAATCGTTGCCACGGCCGCCGCCGGCGCCGCACTGCGCCGCGGGGAACAGGCTCGACAGAACGTCGTCCCTGACGCTGCAGCTGGACGCAACCGGCATGCGGCAGCGATCCCCGCGGAGGAACAGCCCGGTGTGGGAGGAGACGCCGTAGCAGGCGCCGGTGAGCGACGCCTGTGCCTCGCGGACGGTGCGTCTGCACGAGGGCTCGACGGAGACGACGAAGGTGGAGTCTCTGGAGTTGAATGAGGTGATCGGGTACGGCGCGTCCGTGGTGCTGTTCGTCAGGAGGAGCGGCGTGGACGAGGTGGCGTTGCAGTCCAGGAGGATGGGGCAATCGCCGGAGAAGCCGAAAGGGTACGGCACTGAGGTGTTGCCGCACCGTCGATCGCTACAACTGCCACCGCCGGCGGCGGCGGCGGAGGAGGTTTCATACGAGAGGGAGAGGAGGAGGAGGAGGAGGAAGAGCAGGCGGCGCATGTAGGCAGACAGTTCACGCTGCCGGTCGGTCGGTCTCCGCTGTGTGCTTGCGATGAGCAGTGTTTTGATTGCTTGCTTAGCTAGTCATATACGCCTGCGGCCTGCCTAATATTGCAAAGACAAGCTGGAGGAAGATGCCATGCCAATGGAGAAAGAGACGGCAGCCGTGACCGTGATTGCTTTGCTTGTTTAGTCAGTCAGTCAGAGAGCCGCGTGATTGCTTTTTTTTTTTTTTTTGGTGCTGCAGCTGCGTCTGGGCCCTCTAAAGGACTCCTTTGGACAGCCCAATCCTCACCGTATCCCGACCCAATCCGTGGGTGGATTGAGGCCCGTGGGGGCGCTGCCCTTACCAGCCCAGCCCAGGTTAGCATTTGGATGTTGCTCGAGCCAAAATAGGCACGCGTCTGTTTGCTCCCATCCCGCGGCCAGTCGCCCGCTCTCGCAAACACACAACCTTACACTACATCCGGTCGAACTCGGCTCGATTTCAGGTTCGATCGAAAAAGAAAAAAAATGATTGGATCAAAAGATCAATACACTGGCAGATCGAGTCAGGCTATTTTTTGGATCGGGTCAAACCACGGGTCAAAAATCATTGCTCAAACTCGGTCCGACGCACTGGCCGGTCGTATCGGGTAAGTTTTTTTTGGACGGATCAGGTCAGGTTGGTCATGTCAAGTGACCCATGAATAGGTCTACCCTACAACATTGGTCGTCAGTCGCTACACCTCCATCGGAGTTAGGGCTTGTTTCCTCCTTAATATACTGAATATAAGTTAACTACGCTAACTCTTAGATGTTAAAATTGATCTCTTCCATCTTGACCCAACGGTCGAGACGGACCCCTTGACCGCGTCTTGATCGGGGATGTCCAGCCATCTACTGACTGGTGGGCCCCCGTCGCACAGTGCCTATAAAGAGGAGGTGGGGCAAACGGCTCAGGCAACGAGGTTCACCGCCGCCACAGCCCCACTGTCCTAACCCTAATCCGATCCAGAGGGTGGCACTGCCAGCGGCGGGAAGCGTCACTGCCTCCACCACCGCCGGTCTCCACAGCTACACCAAACGTCGCTGCCCTAGCGCAGATCATCACCGACGAACCAGCGAAGGCAGGGAGCTCCTCCGACGGTCAGATGCTCCTACATCTCCCTCTCTCTCTCAATCTCCTACTCCCGAAGCAAACTCTGGATCTATGTGTTCGAATGGAAGTCAAAATACCCACTGATCTACTCCTAGTTGATCCAAAAGAGTTAACAATGGTATCAGAGCCGGTTTCCCTAGGCGTGGATCTTGTCAGGGGCGAGAAACCGATTAGAAAAGAAAAGATAGGTTAGATCCGATTCGGATCGAAAGAAAAGAAATACAGAGGGTTCATCGAACCCTAAACCCTATTCGGGTGATAGAAAGAAAAAGAAGGAAGGGGATTAGAATTCGATTCGTATTACCCTCCTAAAGAACCCTAACCGTAAAGAAATTGGACGGTCCGGGGAAGGTTTCCCCACTGCCGTCACTACCGCCTCACTCGGGATGGAGCACCCGCCGCTGGTTTGCTGACGCGCGGGAAGAGATGGATTAAATCCTTTCGGATCTGAGCATACAGACTAGGGTTTTCACTAACCCTAACCCTAACTGGGTGAAGTTGGAAGGGGCTCGGCTTCAAGACTGCTTGATCCGAACCCTAAACCCGCGACCACATCTCAGGGAAAGAAATAGAAAGAAAAGAGAGAAGAAGGTCATTCAAATCGATTTGAAATTTCACCAAACCCTAACCCTAGAATCCCCAAATCCCAGCAAAGATGAGAACGAACACAGGGTCCTACCTAGGCCTTCATCCCGCCGCCGGCATCGTCACCGTGCGGGAAAAAGACTGCGACGTCGGATCTCGCCGGCGTGCGGGAAGACGGCCGAGCTACGCCACCGCGCGGGCTCGGTCTGCAAAGGGCACCACCGTGGCTCTCCTCGACGGTGCCGCGCGCGGATCTAGCCGCACGCGCGCGCCGGCGCCGCCATCTCCATTTCCTCCTCTGGACGCCATGCGCGGCTATTGGCTGCACTCGGCGCGGATGAGAGAGATGGGGAGGGAGAGAATGAGGCTAGGGTTACAGGGCGAGCGCCGACCCGGTGGTTTTGTTCGCCCTAGATGCACGCTTAGCCGTCGGATGCGCACGGACGGCCGAGATCTAGCGGGTTGCATCGCGGCCCAGGCGGGGCGCGCGGCCGCGGCGCTTTGCCGGCCCAGGCTCACGTTGCGGCCTGGGTGGCTGCGCGCGCGCGCGTGCCGAGTTGGGCCGGGCCGTTTTGACGGTTGGGCCACAGCGCAGTAAAGAATTAAGCCACTGTCTTTTTCTAATTTTCCAGTAAAATGCAAATTTCTGGAAAATGATAAATGGCTCAAAGAAAAATTAGAAAAGAGAATTTTTCTGTGGGTAAAATTCAACAATTATGTTCATAGTTCCGCTGCAAAGTTAAAGGTTTATTGTCTTCTAATTGAAGAGCAGTTATAGTTATTCAGTAAATGATGAAGAATTTATCCTCCAGTTAAAATTGGAACCAATTGGAAAATTTTTTAATTGGAGGAATATTCGGTTGATAGTTAAGATAAATTATAATATTGTTATTTTCTGACCAACGTTGATGATAACAATATTATAAGTTTATTTATGAGTTTAAGTTTAAAGTTAAATTATGGTATTGTTATTTTCTGACCAACGTTGATGATAACAATATTATAATTTTATGAGTTTTATGATTAAAGTTTAAATCTCTGATGAATTTTGCATCAAAGTGACCAATTTTCAGAGAATAGATAAAGATCAAGGAATGCTCTTAAACTAGATAAATGTATTTTCATGTTTTCGCTGTAATGAAGTTGATTGTCTTCTAATTAAATTTGAACCAACGGGAGAATTTAATTTTGAGGAGCAGTTCTATGTTTTCAAGATTATTGAATTTCTATATGTTAATTCCATTTCTGCCCAACGGTGATGTGGAATTAATATAGAAGAATGATGTTTTATTCTATTTCTGCCCAACGGTGATATAGAATAGAACATAAAGATTTCAAAGTTAAATGAGCATTATTATTGAATATTTTCAGACAAAAGACCTCCAAGCTTTCATTCTTGAAGGCAGAAAGAGAAATGAGCTGGGTACTTGTGACTCAGATGATAAAATGCCTAATGGCAAGTTAAGGGATTGTGTTCTCTTTAAAGAATGGCTTCAAAAGAAAAGAATTCTAGGATATTGATCTAAGAAAAGAGATAGATCAATGAGAGTCTTCATTGAGAAATGTCTTTTATGTACTCTCTGTGGAGAAGAATTTATTTTTAGTTTCACTTATGAGAGTTGTAAAAGTCATATACATGTTTAATTTGACTAACATTGGATTAAACATATGTGTTAAAAGAATATTCGGATTTATTTCTGAATTTGATGATTGAACACGAGCCAATCCTGGCAATTATGTCCGTTCAAAGGAATATCTCGCATGGCGAGAAAAGGTTTATGATAGTACCCGCATGGTGGGAAAAGTTTGAAAAAAAATACCCGCATGGCGGGGTAAAGTTGGCATAGTACATATGTTAACCAATCCTGCATGACGGGAGAGTTTGGCATAGTACTTATCCCGCATGGCGGGAGAAGGATGTGATGACTCATGTGCTCTAAGTGTATCCCGCACATGGAGAGAAGTTTGAGGTAGCTTTTATGCTATCCTAGTATTGACCGTACACTCTGATTGTGTCATGGTCATTAAGTACTCAATGAGTTTAAGAACAAAAGAAAATTGCATGTGAACCAAAAGATAAGAATGATATACAAGCATGACTTGCAGAAGTATTGATAATAATAGACTATGTTGAGTTTTGAAGTGTAATGAGAAAAATGTACTCCCATATGAATTTTGTTTGCATGATGTAATCATGTGGATGAAGTAAGTAATCAAAGTTTCCTCATTCACAAGAGTTCTGAATGTTTCGAAATTGTGGTAAAAAAGTTCATACCACATTTCGAGGGGGAGAAATGTAAGATTAATTAAGAAAGACAATTAAGAAAGATACTTCCCCATACTTCAGATAATGCAATGCATACTATGCATTGAAGGTAAAAGTGATGTATAAAAGATGATTGTGATCATTGAGGGAGTAAGACGGTCATAATAACGATACCCCTAAAGTAAAGAAATAGCTAAATTCCTGGAGCTTTTTAAAGTTTCGATAGGAAGATAGCATAGTCGGCTAGTATTTATACTAGACGAGTTCAGAGTTATCAAGGCGGTGCTAAACGCGCCATATGAGTTTTTAGCAGATTAAACCCAAAATAAGAAATTTGAAGATACACCATCTTTTCAGAAGATGGAGTAATCTGGGGGAGCATGGTATGTAGATACCTAAGGCTTGAATAGTAGTGGGATTACATATCCACTACAGTGTTTTTTAGAGCAACAAATTGCCTTATACATGCTGATGTTGTATGACATATACAACACCAGATGTTAGCTCTTAAAGAATATGAATAAGTAAAGAAGGATCTTGTGATACAGGAGGCTATAGAACAATTGCCTTTTGGCAATGAAGAGTAACAATAGCCCCATATGAAAGAAGTGCCACGAGGCCCCAGAAGGTCTCAAAGAATAAGAAAATCAGATATTTCTGGCGACTAAGAAGTCAATGTTAAGAAAGAAATTCAAATAGAGGATAATTTCACCTCATTTGAAAAAGCCATGAGAGACGTTCACTCGTCTAAATGGCAAGAAGCAAAGGAAGATGAAATGAAATCGATAAATATCAACGATGTTTGGGACTTAGAAGTAATTCCCAATGGAGCCAACACAGTAGGCTGTAATGGGTCTACAAGACAAATATGACTCCAAAGGAAATATGAAAAGCTATAAAGCGCCACTTGTGGCGAAATGATTTACACAAAGAGAAGGAATAGATTATAATAAGCTTGCAAGGATTCTTTTATAATCATAATGGTATTAGTGGCACATTACAATTTAC